ACCGGATCCCACCCCCGGTGTGAGAGTTATTTGCAGGTTCTCGGCGTTCTACCGGCAAGGACAAGAATCGATCTACTCCAAACCGGACCCGGACGCTTACACTTGCATTAAGTACATACAAGCCGTATCTTGAATTGGTGTTGCATGATAAAACTGTAAGTCCAATTCATTTATTTATTTGCTTTTTTTGAAATTTCATATTTAATACGTTAATGTAATATTTATTTTTCGTTTATGTTTCGGGAAATCGGATTACAGCATGGCTAAGGGCAATCAATTTGACAACATTTAGGGAGAGGAATTTTGAAGAAGGCATGGTGATTTGTATAAGAAATTATCAAGTTGATATCAACATAGGAAAGTACCGGTCCACGTCCGGAGATTTCAAAATCATGCTGCACGGGAGCACCATGTTTTCGAAGTTCAAGGAAGAATTCCCCGTTTTTCGATTTCAATTCAAGGATTTTGCAACTTTGCAAGACGCCAATAAAATTGATGAATCAAATTTATTTTGGTAAGATACTTTTATGTTGTTTCTTATTGTATTTATTTATTTCAAAGTAATTAAATCATTAAATAATTGTATATTTTTTTAAATGTAGATGTCATCGGATTGGTCGTCGACATTCAAAGTGTGTAAGAGAAACAAATAAAAACAAGTGATACCCAACTGGCTGCCTTCATACTGATGGATCTAAAGTAAGTTTTTTTATTCTTTATATATATTATATGCTAAGATACACGTTGTTATCAGATGACAATTGTTATCAGATGACATTCTCTACAGACAACGGCGATTGTTCAATAACGATGGTAATTAACAAACTTATTTCTTTTATTTTCATTTTTCTTACTTTCATTTGTATTTTCTTTTAAAGATTTGTTATTCTTTAATATTATGCATTAATTAATTTAATCCTTACAAGATTTATTGAATTGAATTTGTTAATTTATAGATTTTCGGCTCACTGATGATGTTATAAAGAATCTGGCCCTTGCTGAAATTGAAAATATATTGCGAAGATTTGGCTCAAGTCTTCGTGAATATTCTTCCATGCATTATCCAGATAGAGATAGCCTTCATACAACATCAAACCACCTTATTTTGGATGAGCTGAATTACGATAGGAAGGCCCTAGCTTTGGAGCACGCAACCCTTCTTGAAACAATGACTGACGAACAGAAAGGGGTCTATTCAAAAATTATGGTTGCTGTGGAATCGGGTACCGGTGGCGTATTCTTTGTATACGGTTATGGTGGGACTGGAAAAACTTACTTGTGGAGGACGCTATCTGCTGCTTTACGATCCAAAGGTTAAATTGTCATTTGTGTGGCGTCGAGTGGAATAACATCGCTTTTGTTGCCTGGTGGACGAACTGCACATTCTCGATTTCGCATTCCATTGACTGTTCATGAAAATTGTTCATGTGATATCAACCAGGAAAGTCCTCTTGCCGGATTAATAATACGATGCTCTCTCATCATATGGGACGAGGCTCCAGTGATGAACAAATATTGCTTTGAAGCTGTTCAAACGTCACTACAGGCTATCATGGGAGCAGTCGACCCGTCTAAAGTAGGAAGCCATTCGGAGGCAAGGCTATTGTGTTTGGCGGAGACTTTCGACATATCCTTCCAGTCATTCCAAAGGGCAGTCGCCAAGACATTGTTAATGCAACTATTAATGCTTCTACCATTTGGAAGGACTGCACTGTGCTTCGACTTACAAAAAAATATGCGTCTTCAAAGTATTTCTGACTCGGACGAGCGTGACAAGCTAGCATCCTTTGTTGATTGGATTGCTAGCATCGGAGATGGTACTTTAGGAGGATCAAATGACGGTTGTGCCTCTATTGATATACCGGATGATATTAGACTTGATCCATCCGATGATTCAGTTGCTGCAATTGTGGAAAGTACCTATCCAATGTTTAATTTGAAGGATAGGGCTATTTTAGCGCCAGCCTTAGAGGTCGTTGAGTCAATCAATCAGTACATGTCAGATATGAATTCAGCTGAAGGTCGCACGTATTTGAGTTCTGACAGTGCATCTAAGTCTGATTCTGGCAATGACTTCTTAGCAGATCTCCACACGCCTGAGTTCTTGAATAGCATAAAGTGTTCGGGAACACCGAACCATGAGTTGCATTTAAAGATAGGAACTCCAGTCATGTTGTTGCGGAACATGGACCATTCTATGGGACTCTGCAATGAGACACGGTTGGTAGTGACTAAACTCTCTGCTCATGTGATTGAATGCAAGATATTGACTGGTGATCA